CTTACTTTAGCTTCCTTACTTGCTGTTTACTTTTGGTTTTTGTTCAGGACTTACTTTTTGCTTTTACTTTTGGTTTTGTTTGTTTTACTTTTTGATTTTGTTCAGGACTTACTTTAGCTTCCTTACTTGCTGTTTACTTTTGATTTTTGTTCAGGACTTACTTTAGCTTCCTTACTTGCTGTTTACTTTTTGATTTTGTTCAGGACTTTACTTTAGCTTCCTTACTTGCTGTTTACTTTTGATTTTTTGTTCAGGACTTCTTCCTTACTTGCTGTTTACTTTTGATTTTTGTTCAGGACTTTACTTTAGCTTCCTTACTTGCTGTTTACTTTTGATTTTTGTTCAGGACTTACTTTAGCTTCCTTACTTGCTGTTTACTTTTGTTCATTTTTTAGTTCAGGACTTTTGATTTTGTTCAGGACTTACTTTAGCTTCCTTACTTGCTGTTTACTTTTTGATTTTTGTTCAGGACTTACTTTAGCTTCCTTTTTGCTGTTTACTTTTGATTTTGTTCAGGACTTGCTTGCTGTTTACTTTTGATTTTTGTTCAGGACTTACTTTAGCTTCCTTACTTGCTGTTTACTTTTGATTTTTTTTCAGGATTTACAGGACTTTGCTTTTACTTTTTGGTTTTTGTTCAGGACTTACTTTAGCTTCCTTTTACTTTTGGTTTTTTTTGTTCAGGACTTACTTTAGCTTCCTTACTTGCTGTTTACTTTTTGGTTTTTGTTCAGGACTTACTTTAGCTTCCTTTACTTGTTTTACTTTTGATTTTTGTTCAGGACTTACTTTAGCTTTCCTTACTTGCTGTTTACTTTTGATTTTGTTCAGGACTTCTTTAGCTTCCTTACTTGCTGTTTACTTTTTGATTTTTGTTCAGGACTTACTTTAGCTTCCTTACTTGCTGTTTACTTTTGGTTTTTTGTTCAGGACTTACTTTAGCTTCCTTACTTGCTGTTTACTTTTGTTCAGGTTTTTAGCTTCAGGACTTACTTTAGCTTCCTTACTTGCTGTTTACTTTTTTGATTTTGTTCAGGACTTTTGCTTTTTTACTTGCTGTTTACTTTTTTGATTTTTGTTCAGGGACTTTTTTTAGCTTCAGACTTACTTTAGCTTCCTTTTTTGTTGTTTACTTTTTCCTTTACTTGCTGTTTATTTTGTTCAGGACTTACTTTAGCTTCCTTACTTGCTGTTTACTTTTGATTTTTGTTCAGGACTTACTTTTAGCTTCCTTACTTGCTGTTTACTTTTGATTTTTGTTCAGGACTTACTTTAGCTTTTTACTTGCTGTTTACTTTTGATTTTTTCAGGATTTTTAGTTCAGGACTTGCTGTTTTTTGATTTTTTGCTTCCTTCCTTACTTGCTGTTTACTTTTGATTTTTGTTCAGGACTTTTTAGCTTCCTTACTTGGTTTACTTTTTGATTTTGTTCAGGACTTACTTTAGCTTCCTTACTTGCTGTTTACTTTTGGTTTTGTTCAGGACTTACTTTAGCTTCCTTACTTGCTGTTTACTTTTTGATTTTTGTTCAGGACTTACTAGCTTCATTACTTGCTGTTTACTTTTGGTTTTGTTCAGGACTTACTTTAGCTTCCTTACTTGCTGTTTACTTTTGATTTTTGTTCAGGACTTACTTTAGCTTCCTTACTTGCTGTTTACTTTTGATTTTTTTCAGTTCAGGACTTCCTTACTTTTTTTGTTCTTCCTTCCTTTACTTGCTGTTTACTTTTGATTTTTGTTCAGGACTTTTTAGCTTCAGGTTTACTTTTGGTTTTTTGTTTCAGGACTTACTTTAGCTTCCTTACTTGCTTTTACTTTTGATTTTTTGTTCAGGACTTACTTTAGCTTCCTTACTTGCTGTTTACTTTTTTTTTTTTTGTTCAGGACTTACTTTAGCTTCTTACTTGCTGTTTACTTTTTTGATTTTTGTTCAGGACTTACTTTCTTCCTTACTTGCTGTTTACTTTTGGTTTTTGTTCAGGACTTTACTTTTTGCTTGCTGTTTACTTTTGATTTTTTGTTCAGGACTTACTTTAGCTTCCTTACTTTTTACTTTTGTTTTTGTTCAGGACTTTTTAGGTTTTGTTTACTTTTGGTTCAGGACTTACTTTAGCTTCCTTACTTGCTGTTTACTTTTGGTTTTTGTTCAGGACTTACTTTAGCTTCCTTACTTGCTGTTTACTTTTGGTTTTTGTTCAGGACTTACTTTAGCTTCCTTACTTGCTGTTTACTTTTTGGTTTTGTTCAGGACTTACTTTAGCTTCCTTACTTGCTGTTTACTTTTGATTTTTTGTTCAGGACTTACTTTAGCTTCCTTACTTGCTGTTTACTTTTGGTTTTTGTTTACGGTTTACTTTAGCTTCATTACTTGCTATCTGACCATCTATTAGGAAAAGTGGCGAGATTATATCCATCGCTAGCTTCCTAAGCCTTAAAAGTACCCATCTGAGAACTGGCCAGCCATAAAGTTGCTTAACTTCGGTACTACAATCCTAAAACGAGCACTTGTGATTTTAATATTAGTAAACGCATGTAAGCTTTATCTTATATATATATATATATATATATATATATATATATATATATATAAATCATAAGAAAAATCATAAACAGTAAGTATTTATAATCCGATGTTATTAGTAATTATTCTTATTATTTTTAAAATAATTACAATGTATATATATATATATATTAATTATAATATACATATATTTTAATTATAATATATATTTATAAATATATTAATCATAATACATATATATATATATATGTATAAATATATTTATTATCTTAAAATAATTATAACATATATATATATATATATATATATATATATATATATATATACACACACACACACACACATATATATATATATATATATGCAAAATATAGTTTTAACGTGTCCTATATTTATCGGATAAAGTGCTCAATATCAAAGATAGAGCGTATGTAAATAGAAGTATAAAAGTGAACATTGAAGTCAACACTCAGAGGCGACAGGCTGTTTCATGCTAGACGCAATCGTCAGGCCATGAGTGTTGTATATACACACACACACATATATATATATATATATATATATATATATATATATATATATATATATATATAAAACTAAAACTTTTTAAGACTAATACCTTTCATTGACCAGTCTCGTGTATTTCGTCTGACATTGAAATGGATAAATTCTGCATTAGTTTTTTGACGTTTGTTTTTTCTTTTTAAATTTTCAATTCCAACACGAACTCAGTCTGTACCGGGGTTGAAGAAGACTGATGAATTTTATTTTTTCCTCCGTCGAAATAAGGTTATTTCCCATATGAGGTCATTTGGGAGAATTCATCCTTTCGTCTACTTTTACTTAAAGAACTCAACAATGCAAAACAGACACTAGTTTACAGTGGTTTTCCTAACTACCTCATCGGCCCCCAGATTAGACTATTTCTTTCCAAAGTAACAAATAACGATACTGAACACAGACAAAAACAATAACTTTAACATCTACAAATGCCAAATTGACGTCAGGTATAATCAAGATGAAATCTTCGCTTAGAAATATAAAGAAATGAACTACCCCAGTCGACACGAACAAGAAAATTAAATTAATTATCTAATAGTAAAAAAAAACAAAACAAAAAAAAACAGCTAACCTTATAAAAAATAACAACACGCCTGCAAAATCAAAACTACAAAGAACCAACATTATTTACGAGTTCAAATGTCCCTTAAGGAACTGTGTACGTGATCAAGCCAAACTCATAATTACATCGGTTACACTACTACATACCTATCCAGACGACTTACGTTACACCTATCCGACCACAGCCCCATTAGAACTCATTTAAACACACAACCCTACAAGACGCCATTCGAAACATACGAGTAGAAAATACAAACATTTCATTCACATGTAAAAAAAGATTAAAAATAATGGAAACCTTAATAATAAAAAATAAAAAGCCAATACTCAGTAACAAGAACTATGAACATGGCCACAATGTGCTGATTTTGTTTGGGAAATAAAACATGCCTATAACTCTAGATAAAACATAACATAGCACATACATTCAGTTAAAAGCAAAATAAAATCATCCATGAAAATGGCTAAAAGTATAGCAAAAAGCATCCGAAAATGCAGAACTTTTGGACAGTTTTTACACATTTTGTATCCAGAAAAGAAACACAAGAACACAAGAAAAATTAAATAAAAAGGTTAATCGCAGTACCTTGTCTGTTGTCTTTAACGAAATATCTATAAAAAAAGAAGGATTGCTGCCTAAACGCACAATATATATATATATATATATATATATATATATATATATATATATATATATATATATATATATATATATGTAAATTTAACTCCTCAATCGGATTTTTAATGTGAACTTTCAAAGTATGCCGGTATGCCGATTGGAAGTTTACACTTGATTTTATTTAAGTCCTTTTTATATGGTCTTGTTCCAAACTACATTAAGCTTCTTAGATATCAAAATATCGCAACTATTTCATGTAAACTATCTAAATGTATTTTTTGCTTCTAATAATATTGATTTATCGAAAATACCTACCCCACATCTTCTCCCTACCATAAAGAATGACTCCCTCGATAACCTTAGGTTCGGGGAAATTTTCAACTTGCTGCGTCATTCGAGCTTACTTCAGTGGAAAGTGTTTCAGATTTAGTTAAAGAGAAGTAGAAGCGAACGACTCCCTAAGGGAATCGCTAAACGCCTGTAGAGGAACAGATATGGTAAGACAAAACCCCTGACACCGACGAAAAAGAGAATTATATCTATCCTTATATATAAAAAAATGAATTCTAGGCGACATACTCGTTCGGCTAGCAGACATTCGGTTTCATTAAAAAAACGATATTGTAAATCGCGATATTGGAAAATGTTTGATATTACTGCAGAGTTTGTCTCACTGGAATGTACAAAGTCGGTTATAATTTCACCCAATTTCTGGTTGAAATGAACCGAGGTCGGGGGTACGGCCATATCAAGTTGAAACAGCGGTTCCCGTACAATCACCAAATTTAAGCAACGTCGAGCGTGGTCAGTACCTAGATCGGTGATCGTTTGGGAATACCAGATGATGTAAGCTTGGATATGCGGGTGATGTAATGGTTAATGGCTCGGAATTGTTAATCGGAGAGCCGAGTTCAAATTCCAGCTGGGTACGTTATACTCATCTACGCACAATTACTCTTGGGAAAAGTATGAATCCATTTTTTCTACCCCAGCTATATGTTAATTATGACTTGTATCACTAAATCATTATTATCTAAATAATTTCTTACTATCTAAACGACTCAGTAGCTTTAAATAACCTGCAAAGGATTGATATGTTGGAATTTTTGGGGTAGTGTAGTACTAGTGAGCTAGCCAAAATTAGCTGACTCATTTTATAGTTCACCAATAGAAGGGCTAACCAATCAGAAGGCTCAAAATATTCAATGCGACGTGTATAAAGGCAGCCATGTTTTTTTTTCCGAATATTCACTGCTAACCTCTGATATCGAAGACTGGAGAATTACAGAACAGCTGCTGGTGGTATTGGCTAGATAGTCAGAGCCAGTAGAGTGTCTGATTCGTGAGTATTAATCTTTAACGTTGTTTTATTGAACAGATTACGTACTGCGCTGTATTCTATATTCATAGACTTGGAGAACATGGCCGAACCGTAAAAAAATACAAAAAAAAAAAAACAATCAAAATACCGAATTCCCTAAGATTTTAAGCGCTGCTTAATTTTCTCTCTGTGTCATTTTTTTTTAATTAAAAAACATTTTCTGTTGTGTATACTTAACATCAGGAAGACGCAGTTGAAATTTCTAATGAGGAAGGAGGGCTTGGAAAATCTAATACACACAAGACGGATAGAGGGAAAGGGACAGTAAAGCAACGAGTGACACACTTAATGGGCTTGAGTTAATGGATGGCAGAACAGAGCTTGGGAGAAATAGCAAAAATACGAAACTTATTAAGAGCTAATAGGGACAGGAAGATGTGGAGGGCCATGACTGCCTACGTCTTGAAGGGACACGGCACATAAGAAAAGATGAAGGAATTGTATTCAGTTCAGTAGAGAAGAATAAATGAACATAATGTTTAATAAATAAACGGAACGTCTACACAAATACGAGTATCCACTAGAAATAACTTTTAAGTAATATATATATATATAAATATGTGTGTGTGTCTGTGCGTCAACTAGGATCAAATATAGATTGAAATCCCACAGAATGATGAGATAAATAACAATTAGAAAACGTTTATAAATCTAACATGTTTCACTTTTATTAAAACTTCGCTAGAGAATAAGATATTGTTTCACCCTATCCTGTTCGCTGATGAAATTTTAATAAAGTAGAATTTTTTGCAAATCCTCACAGTATTTAGTAATGAAGATATTACTAAGGTTTTTTGTCGAGATTTACAAAGTTTACGTTTCATTCAATATCGCAAACCAATCGACGAAATTTGAATAAGCTGATTCATTTGGAAAATACTTAAAAAAAACACTACGTCACGGTTTAATAATTTCTTTAATTTAATTTAATAAGACTTCTTGGTAAATGGATATTTTTAATTTGATTTCGATCGGTCAGTGTATGGCTATTTTAGACGGTGTGACGGTCGACGGACGGACGGACAGACCAACTGAAGTCACAGAATCATTTTATATATAGAGAAGTGAGACATGGAAGATTGATAAACGTTTATTATTTGTTCTTTATCTCTATCTATAAAAGGCAGGATGTGTGTGTGTGTGTGTGTGTGTGTGTGTGTGTGTGTGTGTGTGTGTGTTTATGTGTAACGAATGCACGGCCGCAATTTTCGACGGATTTGCATCAAAATTTACATGCACATGCTCCAAGTTGGCGGGAAGGCCAAGACCGACTTTGCATTTCCCAACTCCCATCGATAGTGGAAATAATCGATTTTTTCATGCTTCTACGGCAGTTTTTATGTAGTTTGCGGTCATTTTCTACTGGCCAGAGTGAGAGCCTATAGCTGGCTGCCACGAATAGGCAGGAAGATTCTATTGGCCAGCGTGAGAGCCAACAGCTGACTGACACGAATGTTAACTAGCATGCTAGCATGCAAAAAAAAAAAAAAAAAAATCGATAGCTGCATTCGTCACAAGTGGGAAAAATTTAAATCTGCATGGCACTTTACTCCAATTGGCTCATTCGCTTGCTTAAACTCAACGTTGATTCTGATTCCGCAGAACTGGGTTGGGTGTGAAAAAGTATTTGTTGTTAACATTCTTTTTTCATTCGGTTTTTCCAGTTACGAGTCCTTTTTTTACAGCTGATCATTTTGTGTTCATTTTGTTTAGTTCTTTTTTCCTAACAGATTTAATGTTTAGTATAGAGCTTAGAAAAAATTCGCAGTGTGAGATAGGCAAGAAGTAAGGCATGTAGCAACATCAGCACGGCAAAGGCACTCCTTTAAAAAAAAGCAAGGAAGGGCAAAAATATTTTAAGTCAAGTGATAGCGATTGCTGTATGAGTCGTACGATTTTTGAATCAAGCACGGGCAACGCCGGGTCATGCTGCTAGTCCTATCATATGATGGACTCTATATGAGGGTCAATCAGCTTAGTTCCTAGGAACTGACACCATGGTTTGATTATAGTGGTGAAGGCATTGTGCAGAACCAATCACATTTTTTGAAGAGCCGAATACAGAAACCTAGTGCAATCTGGTATAACTACTCTGAAGATGGCTCATGTGAATCGAAAGCTTAGATCCAGGAATAGGTTAATAAAAAAAATATCCAAATGGACAATTTTTGTCTTTATTTTCACCCAAAATTAAAGCAACCAGAAGTTTAGAAAGGCTCATGATTAAACATAATAGACATTCATTGTCTGTTATATTTAACAATATATGTTTAAATATAAGAAAAGTTTTTAGCCAGGAGAAATAAACTACATCCTATTTCAAAATTTAATTACATAATCCTGGGTCAACATAAATAAACACTATGTGGAACAAGTATAGAGTAGGTCCTCTATTTTCCAGTTTCACTGCTTGTATTCGATTTTTCATGGATTTGATCAAGTTGTCAACAATCGTCTGATCCATATTTTGCCACTCCTTTAGCAATGTTTCTTTAAGGGTTGGCACTGACGTGATTTTGGTGGCACTATCTCGAAGTTTTCGGTGAAGGTGCTCCCAAAAGTGCTCTATTGGATCCATGTGAGGACTTTGGGCTACCCATCGCAGTGACTTGATTCTTTGCGATTCCTTCCAAGACTTTGCTACTTTGCTGGTATGACATGGCGCTCCATTTGAAAAAGGGAGACATTCTTAGCAATCTGATTGGTTTCAAATAGTGGGAGTAGTCCTTTTTCTGATATTTGACAGTATTTTGGACCATTCAACAGCTTGTCAACAAGAATGAGTTCAGATTTACCTCCAAACCAGCGCCCCACAACATTACTCCAATCTCTCCATGTTTCACGGCTGCATGCAGACATTCAGTTCCAAGTCTCATCCTGATTTCTCCAAACATAAACCTGTCTCGAATTCGAATATTGGCAGAATTTACTTTCATCTGATTAAATTACAGACTGCCAAAATTCATAATCTTTGCTCTCGAATTTTCTCGCATAGTTCATACGCCTACTCCTCTGAAATCAAGGTCTTCTTTCTTGAAATTCTTCTTTGATAGCTAAGCTCATTCAGAGTCGTTCTCGCCGCATATGGCGACATTTTCATTCTGTTGACGACATCTTTGACGTTCTGACGACGGTTTCTGATGACTTCCTTCTTTAGCGCCCTTTTCGTTCACTCAGACACGATGCTTCGTCTTCCTGAACGTTGTTCCACACGACAATGGCCTTCTTCATTAAATTTCTTGACAATATTATTAACCGTTTAATGAATAACCGGGAAAAACCTAGCAATTTCTCTATTTAACTTGCCACACTGATGGCATCCTATTATTTGCCCTCGTTGAAATTCACCAATTTCCTTACTTCCGTGAACTTTCATTGCAAGATATAAGTCAACTATCGTTCATAGATTAGAGTAGCTTGATATTAACACCGTATTGTCTGTAAAAAAAAAATATACGTTATTACATAAACCAAAATTTCTGTAATTAAGGGTAGCTAGAAACTTATCATAGCCCACTATATATATATATATATATATATATATATACTATTTACGGGCGGGCGATTGTCAGAAGTAACCCTCTCTACAGATAAATCTCTGTTAAATAATGCCTAATAAGTGGGACTGCAGGAAGAATTGTATGTAATCCATTCCTTATATTTGTGACAGACAATATAAAGATGAAACAAGTCACTTCTTAAAAGTAAGGCCGTAGGAACATAAAAAAAAGCCGTAGTGAAGTGTGGGAGAATGAAATCAAGCGTTCTTGGTCATGTATGTTCGGAAAAGGGTACTCATTAGCCCCTGTCGAATGAAATGAAAATACTTGAAAATGAAAAAACACTGGAGAGTTAGACGTCTGAAACAATCGGCACATATTCAAGGCCATGAGGACCGCTTTAGTATACCTAGCATATAGACAAATACAATATGTAAACCACTAATAAGGGAAGAAAGACAAATGAGAAATCTTCAACAGTAGCAGCAGAAGCAGCAACTCTAACAAAACAGAAAAGCTTTGGCAAGTGCAATCAAGCATGATAAGCACTAGAGTTATCAACAGGAAAGTTAGGTTTAAGGCTCCAAATTCTCCACAGTGAATCGCCCTAAGTCACAATAGCCTAGTGGATTAAACGTTGTAATAACAACAATAAAGATGGGGACAGTAGTTCGCATGTAAATAGTGTAAATAAATGAAAGTTACTTATGCTACAAACTCAGAGAGAAATTATATATATATATATATATATATATATATATATATATATATATATATATATATACAGATGGAGTAAAAATCCATAGTTCGTAGCAAACTGCTACATTCGTAATACATTTGTCGCTGCCATGTTTTCTACGATCGTTGGGTGATATGTACAAGCATTAGTTCATCGTGACATGAAAAAATAACTCACCCACCTTCTGACCTTATTTTTTATTTTATCGTAGATTTGACTTATAATTGATTA